GGGGGGGCCTCCAGTCATGTGCTGCTTTGTGGAAACACACACCTAATATTACCAGAAATTTCAATTTTGGAAAAGAAACATAAAAAGGAAAAAACTTTTTTTTGAATACCCTAGTTTCTAAATATTGTCTCAAATGTTTGTAATGTTTTAGAGAAGATTTAAAAAATAAAATAAAATAAAAACACATCCTGCGGTCAACAATTTGAAATTCCTATTTAGGGGTCATCAGTGAAGCTTTGCATAACTGTTTTAAAACAAAAATAAACACAACAAAGGACCAGACAGAGAGCAACACATCTCTCTAAACCCTAGCCTGGTGGCTGCGACTGAAAGACAGGAAAGTGCTCATTCGTCCAGGTGGAGCTTCTTCCTTCCCTTTTCTACTCCTGATGTTAGGGGTAGAGAGACAGGACAGCAAACCAGAGGAACGGAGGCATGCTGAGCCCTTGCCCCAACCCCACCACAATGACTGCACCAGGCAGAGACCTGTGATCCCAGCAGCCTCCAGTGGACTCACCTTTGCACCGGCCCCGGTGGACCACACTCAGGTTCGGGTCTCGGCACTTGGCTCGCTGGTACTCACACATGGACTCATAGGACCTGCCGTCGGATGCACAGATGGGTTTGGGTTGAGTCCTGGTGCAGTGGAGGTTGCACTGAGGGTCACGATCACTTATGAGAAACTAGATTGGGGGGGGGAGGCAAAAGGGCATAGATATTACTTTTGCAAAAAAAGTGGAAGAAAATCCATGACTTTCTGTACCAGGCGGCCCTTGGGAAGAAGGTCTCAAATAAACACACAAAGGACCAGACAGAAAGCAACACACCTCTCTAAGCCCATGCCTGGTGGCTGCGACTGAACCCTACAAGCAAAGGGAACAAAGCCAACACAAAGTCTAACCAAAGAAGCCATCCTCTATACCCTAAGAACCATGATGTCGAACATGTACTGACCATGAACAGTCACTGCAACAAGTAATCCACAGGCCAAGTCCCAGTGGACATGACAACAACCCAGCTATATGCCCAATGTCACATAGCTATGAGGAGTGGATGCTGAACATGAACCTAGATCTGCAGGAAATAAAATCAACGCTTTAACCTCTGGGATGTTTGGCTTCTCCACCCATGTAGACAACCACTAAACCTCAAATCCAGAACACTTTTACTCTCCAAATTCCATCTTTGGCAAGTCTTACTTATTAGATGATGGTATTGAGCCCCAAATCTAGAACTCTTCCATTTCTGCTCACAGTTCTCTGGCAGAATTACAAGTTAAGTGACTTTCTGTGAGGAATGTATTTCCTGATTTTAACAGCAATAATAATCAGCTTGGGAAATACTGGGTTAAACAGGTTTTTTTGTTTGTTTGTTTGTTTGTTTGTTTGGTACAGAAATTCTCAGAATTAAAGATAAAGCAATTATATGCTAGTCCTCCTATTGAGTTATGTAGTCACACATAAATATAAACTGGCCTCACTGTCCTCAGTAACATGCTTCAGCAATAAAAGGGTGACATCTGGGGACTTCTGCACCAGGTCATGTGAAGCCTGGCAGTTTCCTCCTATCTTATATTCACTCTGGGGGAAACTAGCCAACATGTAAGAAGCCTAACAACTGTAAGACCACTATGTTATGAGGAAGCCCAAGTCATTTGGTGTCACAAGCACATGGGGAAAGAGATGCCCAACAAACCCAGGAACACAGCCTTCATATGAGTCCAGCCCAGCTGTCAACTGACTGCAATCAAGAGACGAAAATAAGTCATTGCCTGAGAGACCCCAAGCAAGAACCACCCAGCTGAGCCTAGTCAACCAGAGAACTGACAGAGATAACAAAAATAAACTATTGTTTTAAGCCATTAACTTTTATAGTAGTTTGTTGCATAGTGATCATAAATAACTAGATCAAGGAACATGTACGATGTCTCTTCCAAACCTCTTTGTAGCCATGAAATTCATTAGTGAACCCCATGTTAACAGCGGCAGAACGCAGGTGGAGAACAGTAATCATCCAGTACAATCCACAATACCCTGGGCACACTCTGTGGGGCTGGAGGGGGTGATGCTTGGCAGTGTCAAGAGCACCAGCTGTGGCCACCTGCAATGCTGAAGCCAACCATGTGATGACACCAAGCTCACAGAGGTCTCAGAGGTGTGAACACAGCTCTGCTTCAGATATCTTTGCAGACCCACTGTGTGAAGCAAACAGTTGAGAATTTGTCCAGAAGAGCAGAGAAAGGTCTAGAGGCAGTGCCACACCCTTCAAGGGAAATCTGGAAACACAAGCCCTCTCCTCCACCCCCCGCCAAATCTCGAGAGTCTGAGCCAGTCCATGACTCCTCAGAGCACATCTCAGCAGTAAGGCCAGATCCCCCCAACCCCACTGCCACCTACTACTACCTTGACTGTCACACCCAGGAGCTGGGCTCAACCTGTGCCTCATCAGGACAGATGGGGCAACTCAGCCCCTCTTCAGAGACCCTGGGCTCCCACACATCACAGGCTAAACTGAGTCCTGCCCAAAGGTCGCAGGGAAATGTCCTGATGGCTCTCATGAGCACATCATTGGATAGAGCCTAGTATCCTGGAGTAAAAAGAGAGCAACTGCAAAGTCCCATCAAGAGGAAACCCACTCAGTCCCCAGCTGCTACACCAAGGAATGAGCTAACAGAGACAGAGTGGGAGGCAGGGTGTCCACACATCAACCCCTGTGTGGGATCTGTGACCTTGACTCCCCTTGGGTTGCCTAGCTTAAAACTCTTGACTAGCATCTCGCTGTCCTTGGGACCTCCACACAGCATCCAGGCCTGGCAGAATCTGACCTGGGTCCCTCCCTGGCCTCCCTCTGACTCTGTCCCCTGTTCCTCACTTGTGCACACAGTAGCTATTTCCTTACTACAGTGAGCTCCACAGCTCTGCCTTCTGCACCCCTCTCATCCTGCACTGGGTCTGGGCTCACACCAACTCTTCTGGGAGGCTTTCCCTGACTCTCAGGTGAGGATGGTGCCCCCAAATAATCTCTCATACCTCTCTTTCTTCGTGGCTCCTAACATGTGTGGTGATGAAATGATTTGTGTAATTTCATTAACAATGTAACTCTCAATTCTGAATTTCCAGATGACAAGGATAATGTCTATTTGACCTATAAACACATCCCCAGCCTCCAGCCCTTGGTTATTTGTGGGATGAATGCATTCGTGCAGTGGCACTTCCTGTGCAACATCACCTCAAAACCTGCTGGTATGAGGTGACAGGCCTGGTGTCCAAGGATCCTGCTCTCTAGGGTCTCCTGGAACCACTCCTCCCTGCAGTGCTTTGAGGCTTGCCCTTCTCCAACCATGTCCTCTCCTCTGCTCACCCTATGGCATTATGTGGTGGGCAGAGGTAACCCAGAAGGCCCTGTCTTTGCCCCATTCCTGAACCAGAACCTTATCAAAAATATCTCCCAGTTGAGCATGGTGGTGTATTTTTATAATCCCAGCAACTCAGGAGGCTGAGGTAGGAGGATCACAAGTTCAAAGCCAGACTCAGCAACTTAGAAAGGCCCTAAGCAACTCAGCAAGACCTTGTCTTAAAATAAAAAATAAAGAGCTGGGGATGTGGTTCAGTGGTTAAGCCCCCTGGGTTCAATCTCATAGTGGCCTTGAAGCACTTGGGAGGGTGAGTCTATCTCATCCAGAGATTTAGCATTTATTATTGGGCCCACATAGGCTTTTAGTAACCAGCTTCTGATTCTGTGAATTCACTTTTGCAGCTGGCTAGGTGTTTCTGTTTGTGGTGATATTTTTTAACAATGAAAGGCAGTGTTGCCTAGGGGTTGGAAGCATGGCTTTGGAGCCAGGCAATGGGTATCATCCCCAGCAGGACACATACAGGCTGTTTCTCCTTGGGGAAGTTACCTAATTTCTCTAGGCTTTAGTGTTCTCATCTGTAAAGTGTCAACACTTACATACAAAATTCAATTACCTATCATGCCATAAGTCATAAATAAGTTCTTACCCATCTTCTTTCTTTGGAATTTAAATAGTGATTTGTTTGTTTGTTTGTTTTTAGGAGAACTCCCCAAAAAGGAGGGCGAGAAAAAGACAAAGTTTCTTTTCAAACTGTAGAGGTGGCCCTGTTGTCTGTTCTTTAGCTCACGGGAGGGAGCCTCAGGCGTCACCGTGGCATTGGACTACAAGCCATAAATCTGGTTTGGAAATGGCTCTCTCTGCGCCATCAGAGACTCCAAGGCAGCTGTGTCAGAGACCCGCTCAACAACAAGAGGAGCACTCTGTGCGCGGACAGACAGGTCAAAGAGCCCACAGAAGACCCACCTACCCAACACACAGGAATGGCTCTCGGCTTTGGAAGGGTTCCCAAGAGTCCTGTCTAGAGACGGCTGGCCCCTGGAGACCTGTAAAAAGTTCAGTCTCAGCACAGGGCCATTGCTAAAGACCATCTTCAGTCTACTGTGGTGTCTCATTTTCATCTGTTTGGGGAACTGAGTGTATTTGTGATTGCTTTCAGAAACAAACAATGAGCTCTATAAAACAGAGCCTCATAGAAGAGATTAATTACTGTGGGTCCACAAATACTGAGGATAAAGCAATCCTCCAGTCTGTCCATCCGTCTGTTCCTCTACTCTGTATCCAGTGAGTGGACATTAACAGTGAGCTCAGCACCGCACAGACCCAAGAAGCACACAACCAATATGGCCCCTGCCCTCCATGAGCTTACAACCTAGTATGGAGACCCCAAGCAAGCAGCTACCACACAGCATGTTAGCAGAAACCACAGCCATACTAAGAGGGGACATAATCCTAAGCACTCCACAATGTGACAAACCATACAGGTCCATAGAACTTTCCACAAAGATGGAAATGTTTATATCCCTCCTGTCCAACACAGTAGCCACAGACCACAGATGGCTATGAAGCACTGAGCTATAGCAAACGCAAATGAGGAACCAAACATTTAGATGTGTTTAATTGTAGTTAATTTTAACTTAAATGACCATGTACCAGCTAGAGGCTACCATATGCAAAAGCCCATTTAGCAAGTAAATAAACCAAGAGGAGAGGGCGGGTGGGCCTCAACCAAGTTTTTCCAGGTTGAGTCAGGTGAAGACCGATTGGACTAACAGGAAAAAAAGAGCAGATCCTGAGCACAGTTTCTGCATTTTGAAACCAGACAGCAAATCAGTCCATTACTTATAAGTCAATGGCTAAGTGACCCCAGGAGGTTGTCACAGTCTACATGAAGTCATGAGGGTCTTGCAGGGGACAGGGGGACAGGAGAGAAGTCCTCAGCATCAGGCTGAGACTGTGGTCAGTTCTCTCAGAACACAAGCAAAACTCAAAGAATTGGAGTCACCCTGCTGGGACATGACCCCTAGATCACAGAAGTCTGTTGTTGTGGACTCAAGAGCAATTGTGATTGGTGGAAATTTCTGGTGTTGGGCAGGGCCAGGCAGTTTCCCCCACAAGCCAAACACTGAGCCATTTTCCTCTAGGGGGGAAATTTGTGTTTTCATAAAAATCCCTACATAGATTCCCTTCCTTCTTCCTAACCAATTGACAATAAAACAAAATTATAATGTCAAATATGATTGCCTAACAAGGAAGCCAAACAAAGAGCGCCAGGGCAATTGTGCATCTGCAGTTGTCTCTCCCACCCCTTCTCCTTGGGGACCAGATGAC